ACTCCTTGAAAAGGCTGTCTAGGTGCAGGTAGTTGGTGCAGTGTATAGAGCCCCGGGTGTAGAGTCAGGAAGATCTGAGTTCAAATCTTGCTTCAGACACTTAGTATCTCTATGACCCTTGGCAAGTCACTTAATTGTGATTGCCTTAGTTTCCTTGCCTGTAAAGAGAATTGGGGTAGAAAATGGCAAACCACTCCAGTATCTTTGCCAAGAAAACCCCGAATGGGATCACAAAGAGTCAGACATGATTGAAAAATGACTAAGCATAATCATCACAATAGGTATCTCCACTTTTTCCTCTCGCTCTCTTCTTACCCCCTTACATTCTGGCTTCTGACCCTATCATTCCACTGAAATGGCTCTCTCTGAAGTTACCAATGAAAAGCTCGAGTGATGGAATTTCTGGGTAATTAACAATCATTGTATTAATTAGGCTAGCAAATAATAAATTGCTGATCAGTGGTTTCTCTCTGTAACCAAAGACAAAAGACCATGGAGATCATCAAATGCTTAAATACCTTTGCAAGAGTGGGCACGCTTGACAGATCAACCCTGATTGGTGAACAATCAAAGACGGGGTAGGCATGTTAATGAGGAACTGGGCCAATAAGTGTTCAGCTCCTCCTGCTGAGAACTTGACTAGATCATGAGACTTAGCCTCCAGCTTAAATATTTGTTGAAGTTGAAGCTGAGTGTAGAAAGGCTGTCTTCATTCTTGACTCTAGCATCCAGCAGAGTGCCTTGCTCATAGTTGGCACAAAGGTTGGGAGGGTGTGTGTGTGTGTGTGTGTGTGTGTGTGTGTGTGTGTGTGTGTGTGTGTGTGTGAGAGAGAGAGAGAGAGAGAGAGAGAGAGAGAGAGAGAGAGAGAGAGAGAGAGAGAGAGAGAGCTAGTACTAAATCCTATTGAAAGGATCTTTGTAAAGAGAGCAGTTGCCCCTTTGCCTCGGTAAGCTAATCCATAAAAGATGCTTAGCACTGATACTTTGTCAACTCAGTATGGGGCAAAATTATGAGGCAGAGTGACATTGTTTTGAGGACATACAATTCTTTAGCCTTTCCAGGAAGGCACTGTGCTTCCTGATTCTACATATTGCTAAACTATACCTTAAGGCCTTCCTTTCACGGGTCCTACTTCATCCCAATCCCACAGTCTTCAGTCCCAATTATTCAAGGCCCTACTGGATAACTTGCTAGATTATTTTATTAAATAATTAGAGCTAAGTTGTTATGGGTGATAACAGCTTCACATGTTATACTTCCTTAGCAGCCCCTGCCCCTGGCACCTCTCCCTCCCTCTGATTAACAAGGTGGAGAGTGGACATTGGAGAACTCCTCCTAGATCCTCTATTTAAGGTGAGGGCCCAGGGCAGCCAACTCTTTATTTCCTATCTGGCAGCAGGACTTTATCATGTTCCTATGTCAAATGCCTTCCCTCTCCCTACCTGCCCCAGCTTTTTACCTTCTTTTTATGTGTTTTCTTCCTCTCTGTTAGATTGGGAGCTCCTTGAGGGCAAGGACTGTCTTTTGTTTTTCTTTGGATCCCCAGCATTTAGCACAATGTCTGTCACACAGTAGGAGCTTAATAAATGCTTACTGATGGACCCATCTGTTACTCTTAGTCTTAGCAATACAGTTGCATATTGACTAGGGCTTTAAATGCTTTAAGCCAAAGGAATGGCTAATAGGAATTCTAACCATAGCATGTGGGGAGTGAAAGTTTGGGAATTGTGCTTGATACTTTGGTTCTCTTCAAATTGCTCCTAGCAGGACAGAACTACAACCAAGAATCTCCTACCCAGCAAAACTGAGTATAATCCTTCAGGGGGAAAAATGGTCATTCAGTGAAATAGAGGACTTTCAAGCATTCCTGATGAAAAGCCCAGAGCCAAAGAGAAAATTTGACTTTCAAATACAGGACTCCAGTGGAACATGAAGAGGTAAATAGGAAAGAGAAATCATAAGAGACTTATTAAGATTAAACTGTTTACATTCCTGCATGGAAAGATGATATTTGTAACTCATGAGACCTTTGTCAGTATTAGAGTAGTGGGAGGGGAAAAAATTATATGTATGTATGGATAGATAGATAGATAGATAGATAGATAGATAGATAGATGGCACAGGGTGAGTTGAAGATGAAGGGGTGATATCTGGAGAATAAAATTAAGGGGTGAGAGAGGATTATACTGGGAGAAGGAGAAAGGGAGAGGTAGAATGGGGCATATTATCTAGCACAAAACAGACAAGAAAAGGTTCTTACAGTGGAGGGGAAATGGGGGAAGGAGAGAGGAAATGAGGGAATCTTATTCTCATAGGATTTGGCTTAAGGAGGGAATAACATACACACTCAATTGGGTATGGAAATCTGTCTTACCCTACAGGAAAATAGGGGAGGAAGGGGACAAGAGAGCAGGGGGATGATAGAGAGAAGGGCAGATTGGGAAAGGGGTAATCAGAAGGAGGTACTTCTGAGGAGGGACAGGGTCAAAAGAAAGAATAGAATAAATCGGGGGGACAGGATAGGATTAAGGGAAATAGAGTTAGTTTTTCACAACATATCTGCTATGGAAGTTTTGCATAGCTGCACGTGTATGGCCTGTATTGAATTGCTTGCCTTTTCAGTGAGGGTGGGTGGGGTGGGAGGAAGGGAGAAAATTTGGAACCCAAAGTTTTAAAAACACATGTTTAAAAAAAATGTTTCCACATGCAACTGGGAAATAAGAAATACAGGAAATGAGGTACAGAAATCTATCCTGCCCTACAGGAAAACAGAAGGGGAAGGGGATAAGAGAAGGAAGGGAGAGACAGAAAAGAGGGCTGACTAGGGGAAGGGGTATTCAGAATGCATGCCATCTTGGGGGGGGGAGGGGCAAGATGGGGTGAAAATTTGGAATTCAAAATCTTGTGGAGGTAAATGTTGAAAACTAAAAATAAATAAATTTATACAAGTTGCTCCTAGCAAGTAACTCTATTCTAGTTCCAGCTCTGATAGGAACTTCCTGGATGAAGTATTTTGGGTACTCTGGCCTTCACTTGGACTAGATAATCTCTAAACTTCCTTCCAGTGCACAATAAGGCTTTGAGTCCATTAGAAGGAATGGAATCACAGGATAGAGAGTTGTTACAGACTTTATAGATCATCTATTCCAATCCCCTCATTTCACAGATGAGGAAACTAGGTGAATATGAGATGACTTCCCAATCATAATTCTTACTAGTAGAGCTTTGATCCCAAATCATGTTCTCCCAATCCAGTAGACTTTGTTTTGTTCCAGAGGGCATGACTAGAAACAATGTATAGAATTTAAAAGGAGGGGACAGGGGCAGCTAGGTGGCTCAGTGGATAGAGCACCAGCCCTGAAGTCAGGAGGACCTGAGTTCAAATCCAGCCTCAGACCAAACACTTGACACTTACTAGCTGTGTGACCGTGGGCAAGTCACTTAGCCCCAATCACCTAAAATAAAATAAAATAAAATAAAAGGAGGGGACAGATTCCAACCCAATATAAGCGAGAACTAAGACAAATAACACTGATCAACATCGGAATGGACCTGCTCTGCTTGTCAGGTAGAGAGCTACCTGTCATTGAAAGTATTCAGGCAGAGAATGCATGACCATCTCAGAAATCATGTATATAATCCTGTATATCCATGTATATAATCATGGATATACAGGAAAATAGGAGGGGAAGAGGATAAGAGAAGGGGGGGAGGGTGATAGAAGGGAGGGCAGATCAGGGGAAGGGATATTCAGAATGCTGGAAGTCTGGGGGGGAGGGGAGAGATGGGGAGAAATATTGGAACTCAAAATCTTGGGGAAATTAATGTTGAAAACTAAAAATAAATAAATTAACTAAAAAAAGAAATGATATATATATATTCTACAAAAGGTGGCAGGATGGATTTTCCAATTATATCTCAGATTTCCTGATTCGATGTCAGTGCAGAATCTCCAGACAGAACAGCAAGCAAACAAAGAGGAATCCCAGCCAAGGAGCAGTTGGGAAGAGTGCTGAATTTGGAGTCAAAGGCTGTGAGCTCAAAACTCTGACCTGCTTTTCTGGGAGTTTGGAGAATGATAATAATGGCTTATATTTGTATAGTACTCTAAGATTTGCAAGCACTTCACATTTTTGATCTTATTTGATTCTCACAATAATTCGATGAAGTAGACACTACTACCTTCATTTCATAGATGAGGAAACAGGCTAGGAGAGTGTGATCCTGTGCCAAACAACAATTAGGAATCTGAGTGGAATTTTTAGAAAGTATATTTTTTTACTACCAAGCATTTACTTTTTCTTCCACCTATTTCAGAGAGAAGACTTTCTTTCAAGTAAAGCAAAACAAATTCCCCTAAAATGTGTGATTCACTTGCGCATTATATCCACCACCTGTCTGTCACAAGGTGGCTAGCATTCCTCATTATTGTCTGAATCCAAATCTTCCTCCCTCCAGATCTAGCACCCTCTCCACCCTACCGAAGTCTCTTGGTGCCAGGAAAGTCACTTAGCCTTTCTGGAACCGGTCCCAGCTGGCTTCTAGGGGGCCTTGCACCCAGTGGTGCACCGGAGCCTGATCCTGCCAGCTCCAACCCATGGTAAAGTTTCCAGGATGAGCATTCACACCATGGAAATCGGCAAACGCTACAAATCAGGGCTTTATTTATTGCTTTGTTGACCGTCTAGACTTAAGAAAGGGATAGGGAAAATGTTAATAATGTAGATGAAACGGAAAAGTGTGTCGTGAGTACGTCCTCCGCCCAGAACCGGATGGTAAATATTTACCAGAGCGCAGCCGCTTGCCTGGGCCATCTGGGATCCTGGGATTCTATGACAGGCGCCACGCACACGTGGATGTCTTCTAAAGCGGACTCCATTTCCCAGCATCCTTCAGGGCGCAGAAAGCGGAGCTCGGCGCCTCGTCCACGTGACTCAACATGCCGCGTCTCCACAAGCCCCGCCTCCCCGCGCCTCCCCGGCAGTTTGTGCGCGTCGGCACCTCCCTCGGCCCACCCCCTTACCCCTCCGCACAGGCACGGAGACCTGGAGAGGGAGAGCGGACGGGTGGACGCAGGCTGGCGGGCTGCGAGAGGGAGCCGGGCGACGTGGAAAGATGGAGGACTGAGCAGGCGCGCGCCTCCTCGGGCCGGCGGCGGCGGCCTCTCTGCCCCAACTACCCTCCTCGGAGCCCGCGGTGCGGGAGTCGGGACTCACCCGAGTCAGGTGAGGAGGGAGGGCGGCGGCGCGGCGGAGCTGTCCCTTCCCGCGGAGCCCCTACCGGAACCGGGACCCAGGGAGCTGTCAGACCGCCGGGGGAGGGGGTCCGGGGAACCTCTGCCGAGCTGGGGCTGGGGGGGGGTTGTGAGCCAGTGTCCAGATGTGGGGGAGGGGCTGTCCCGAGGATGCAGAGGCGGAAGGGGGCTCTCAGGAGGCAGACGTGGAGGGCAGGGTCCTAAGGAGGTAGATGCGGGGGAAGGAGGGCCCCGAGTGGTTAAATGTGGATGGAGGAGGTCCCCAAGTAGGCAGATGTGGAGGGAAGGAGGGGTCCCGAGCAGGCAGATATAGAGAAGGGAGGGTTCCAGTGGGCCGGTGTGGAGGGAGGGAGGGGTCGAAGGTGATGGAGTGATACGAGTGAGACTGGATGGAGTGAAAAGACAGGAATTTGGCTTCAGGGGTCATGAGGTGAGGCGAGCTGTAAAGGAGTAGGGAAGTAGGGAGCTGAATTAGTGGTTTAGGGACAATGATAAGTGGGTGCATGAGGATGGTTTGGAGGACACCTCAGATGGGGCGTCAGATAGGGAAGTGGGAGAGGGAAGGAAGAAAGTTATGGGAGAAGAGTAGGTAGGGTGGTTGCTGGTACTGATGTGAGTAGGAAAGTGGTGATAGGAGTTTATAAGGCATTGTTGACAACGTGAGAGTGAGGAGCGGAGCATTGAAGGACTGATTGAAGGGTGATGAAAGGAGAGGTTGTGAGGTGCAAGAGAATTCAGTCAAGGAGAGGAGTGGGGTTCGTAAGGGGTAAGGAGGGACAGTCTTTAGGAATTGAAGTTGACTTTAGATGTAAATGGAGAAAATAATTGATGTGGTTTGAATTAAGGGGAAGGTGAAGTAGTTAACCAGAAGTATGGGAAATATATGTGCCAAATGGAATTGAGGGAAACTGTAAAACAGTAATCTAAGTGCAATGGGGAGATTGTGAGAATTGTTGAGGCTTGGAAGCTGATTTGGATGCAGAGAATTAATCTAGTTGGGCTGGGACGAGAACAGAAAATAAATTATGAGCTGTATTAAAAAATAGATGTATTTAAATTGTTGAGGAAAAGACGTCTTAGAATGTGTGATCCATTGAGTATTAGGCAAGTAGAGAATATAAATACTCTTGTTTAACAGAAGAAAAAAAAATTCATCTAATTATTTCCTGGTTTTTCTAGTTGGTCCTGCTAACTTCATTGTTTCATTTACTTTGTTTACGTAGGCTTATACTTCTGTAAGATGAGGGCAAGAACTTTGGATCACTTTTTTTTCTTAGGTATGAAGGAAAAGCACTGGAGTGAAAGCAAACTGGCACATATTGTGATGTAATATAGTACCTTAAATAGTTGGACACTTTGGTTGTTCCTTTCTATCTTAGATGGTAATGGTCAGCAGGCTAATGCATATGTTGTTTATGTCTGTTTCTCTACAGTTGTGTCTGGAGATAAATATTGTGGATGATTTCTTTCACCGCTGTTTTGTAATGAAAGTGTCTTCTTTTAATTTGAGTAATAGATAATGAGAATTGCCAAAGCTAGTAAAGACAATTTCATTTTTTGATACATTTTATAGAAAAGGAATGAGGAAAACTCTTGAATTTACAGATTTTGAATGTATACAGCATTGCTACATATTATACATTCTTGTAGTTATATATACTGAAATTCCTTGTAAACTGTTAGCTGGGTTGCCTTATGTCTTTGTGGCAGAATGTTTGACACATGTGGCCTGGCCCCTGTATAGAACATGACATTGCAAGATAGATGACCACTTGGGAAATAGTATAGCCCCTATACTAGAGATGAGATAGGAATGATAAGATAACTTGTATAGTTAAAGTAAGAATATACTTTCAAGTAGAGTAAATAAGAGACATCAGCCCCAAGTTATTCTTAACTTCTTCAAGTCTCCTTACCTGACCTGAGTTAGTATAGTTGAGAATTGCTTTGGTTCTGAAAAACCAAGTAGAAAGATAGGCATCAGCTTCTCTTTGCTTTTTTGGCAGGGAGAGGATTCACTGACTCCTAAAGGTGAAAAGATCCTTAAAAAATCATCCAGTTCAGTGCTTTGCTTCCTGATAGGACTGTACTTTCTTTTAGTGTCACCTGTCTATTTTACTCTTAAAAAACCCCCATAGTTTCAGTAGTCAATTTCAATGCTCCTCTTCTTATCGGGGAGTTTTTTTCATTGAGTTTTGTCTGAATGTTTGCTGCTTCTAATTCTTCCTTTAAAACATCTTTCACCTCTATGCCTTCCTCTTTATTCTTCTTGCAGGTAAGGTATCACCACAATCTCTTCCTCTCTCTAGCCCATCATAAGTAGAGCCATCAGGCTAACCTTCCTAAAACATCAGTTTCATCACATGGCTGTCTTGAAGCCAATGGAGACTTCTGAGTCAAGAAAAAGTGTCAAAATTCAAATGTGACTTTCAAGGATCTTTGTGCTCTGGACTCTCCCTACCTACCTTATCTTGTCTTTAACTGGTTCTCAATATAAATTTTCTATATAAACCAGATACTTTTCATAGACCTTCTAACCCATCATCCTCATGTGATAATCTAAGATTTTGCTCATGTTCTTTCTTTCTTTTAGGCAGAGCTGTAAGTATGAATTCTGGCCCCTTAGGTAGGCATAGGTTGGTTGGGGAAGAAGGCTTTAGGAAGAGACCTTGGAGAGGTGCCAGGAGGGCCCTCTTGGAGGAAAGAGCAGAGAGAATCTAGGGTGGGGAAGAAGTCTGAAAGAGTTCTGGAAGATGTTGGGATGCCATCTCTACTACATGGTAGCCTTTACTTTCATTGTGATATATATGAGTTTTTTTTGTGAGCCATTTACCTTCATTTTTGTGAACAATTTAGGTTAGAGTCACGTCAGGGGAATGGTGACCTGTCATTCAGTCTCGCACCCACCAGCCAATACCCCATCCATGTTCCCCTCATCTCCAGACTCCAGAGGGACATGGAAATGGGAGAGGCTGCAGGTAGGAGATAAAGTTGTGAGTAAAGTATTCATCCTAGGATGAATGGAGAACATAAGGCTATTGAGGCAGTGAGGTGTCATGGTCTTGGTTGTGGATAGTGTCCAAGATGATGTAGATGCCAGGAACTATGCCATGGGACTGGTAGAAGGCCACCAGGCATGGGGGCCACATAAAAATTGCCTGGAGAGGAGCGGTGTTCTTCTAAATTTTGGCACTCTGGGACAATGTCTGGACTGTCTTCCTTGCCTAGAGGCAGGGTAGCACAGTGGATAAAGTGCTGAGTTTGGAATCAAGAAGGCTGAATTCAAATCTAGCCTCAGACACTTCCTGTGTGACCTTGGGCAAGTCAGTTAACCAATGTTTGCTTTAGTTTTCTCAGCTGTAAAATGGAGGAAATAAAGCACCTACCTCCCAGGGTTGTTGTGAAGATCAAATGAGATAATGTTTGTAAAGTACTTAGCACAGTGTCTGGCACTTAGTAGGCACTTTATAAATACTTATTACCTTCTATTCCTTCTCTCTCTTAATAGTGTTCTTCTGTCTTCCAAAGCCGATCTATTATTTCAAAAGGCAACTTATGACCTAATTTTTTCCGTAAAGCCATTAGACTGCTCGTGCCATAGTGAACAACCCCACCCTCTGAACTTATTGTTGGTATCCTTTTTTTAACCTTTATTTGTATAGGATATTTTCATTTATTTATTTACTCATAAAGGATGTTCCAAAAACCTTAGTGAATTTTTGAGCATTACTTTTTTAAGCTTTATTTAGCTTATTTATATTTGTAAATAATATGTATTATTTATAAGTTTATTTAAGCTTTAATAAGTAAGTTTTAAAATTTCAGTAAGAATTTTGGAATGCTGTTTTTATACTGCTTTTCATGATTTCATAGTATATATATTTTATATTTCCTTTGTCTCTCCCCACCCCCCAAGTTAGTGCTGTGCAAATAGGAGGCACTAAATAATTTCTTGTTGTGAATAAATGAACTCTGTTGTACACAGCTAGTTTACTCGGCTACAGAGCCTATCTAGGATCTAGGATTTCCCAATCACCTGAAGAATCAAGACCAGCTTGATCTTTCACTCCGAGCATGCATTGATGAGGTGGGAGAAAAGATGGCAGCAACTCCGTTTATTTTTAGCAAAGCACTTACTTATATAGTAAAATAACAGGAACTCTTTCTCAAGTTACAATGATGTATATAACCCATGCTGTGCTCAAGGACAGTGCACATACAGTCCGTGCACATATCTACCACCAATCACAAATACACTGTTAATGACTAATGAGTAACTAGGGAAGTTAGAGATGCATAGAATGGAGCACTGAACTAGGCAATCTTGCTCATAGATCAGTCACCCGAGAGGGGCCTCCACCCATCAGTGAGACCTCATGAACAGCCTGTGGTCCTCTACATCCTTACAGATCCCCAACAACTCCCCCTTTTTGTTTTTGCTGGAGACGGAGCATATGAAGCTCAGTCCCAAGGTCCTTTATCTGATTCGCATTGCACCTGAGCAAACACAGTCCAGAACACAGCATGGCCAGCAATAGCAAACATAATAGCAGTAAAGAAGATAATAAAGACATAAGCCAATGTCCAAGGTTATCAGAAGGGTTACGGAGTTCATCTAGCCAATCAAGTATATGTTGGGCAGTGTTATCTGGCATCAGTAAAGACATTAATTCCGTCTACGGGTTCACCGGATGTATGTGTAGGTTGAATCCAAAGCCAGTTCTCAAAGACTGCATGATATTTAAGGGGTTTTCCATACACAAGCTTCAAATTGATATTCACTTGCCAGTTGGGCATTGTTTGTATTGCCATTCCAATTATTTGTTGAGAAAATGGAAGGTATATGACTTCCGGATGCATGCCACATAATTTTAAACATCTGTTATCAATTTTGTGTATTAAGTCCCCTATCAGGACCATATAATTACTTAAAGTGTTTTTTGACTGAGATGGTAAATATACCCATTCTAA